TTTTTTTTTTTTTTTCCTAGCAGCCTGTCACATTGCTTCTGCCCAAAACAGCAAGGTCTGACTTTTCCTCGCCAATCTCCCTGCCTCATCTCCAGAAAACTGCACCCCTGCATGGCCTCTTTTGGCCCCTCTAGAACTGTACATACAGAAACACTTCACATACAAAACCTGCCATACCTTCCGCATTTATTTGGTAAAACTGTGGTTGAAGACACTTTTCATCAGACCTTTGAAGCCCCTCATGTAAAGCTCTAGGGAACTCTCACAGTTCAGGGTGACAGAAAGCTTGTCTTTTACAATAAACAAGTGTTTTATGTTTTATCTCCTTAGACAGTGAGGATCCCCATGGCCTACCCTGGGCAACTGAGCTCTCCTCCATATATAGGTAGTAATTTCCCTTAACCTTAGCCAGCTGATGTGATTATTCCCTTCCTCCCCCTAACATATATATATATATATTAGACTGGGTCTCATGCCCAAGCTGGTCTTGAACTCCTGGGCTCAAGCAATCCTCCCATCTTGGCCTCCCAGTGTGCTAGGATTACAGGTGTGAACCATGCCTGGCTCCTCTCCCATTTAATGACTTGGCTTTTTTCTGACTAATGACTTCATATATTTCATGTTATCCTTTTCACTGTGTTATATCAAATCCTTTTTCAAGCAATTGGAGTATCCTTTCTCCATTACAACATAAGCTCATTTAAAGAAGGAACGATGGCTTTTCCTATTTATTCTATATCCCCAAGCCCCAGAACATGGCTTTTCCTATCTATTCTATGTCCCCAAGCCCCTGATGCACAGCAAATGACAAATAAAAGTTGGGCACGTGGGTGGATGGATGGATGAATTGTTGGTTGGATGGATGGATGGAGGGTTGGTTGAATGGATGGATGGTTGGATGGAGGGTTGCTTGGATGGATGGATGGATAGATAGATGGTTGCATGGATGGATCGACAGATGGATGGATGGATGGATGGATGGATGGATGGATAAACGGATGGATGGATGGATGGATGGATGGGTGGGTGGATGGATGGATAAATGGATGGATTGATAGATGGATGGGGATGGATGGGTAGATGGATAGATGGATGGATGGATAGGTGAATGGATAGATGGATGGATGGATAGATGGTTGGGTAGATGGATGGGAGATGGATGGGTGGGTGGGTGGGTGGGTGGGTAGGTAGGTGGATGGATGGATGGATGGGTGGATGGATGGATGGATGGGTGGATTGATGGATAGATGGATGGATGAGTAACCAAGGTAGGAAGGTCAGTTTCTTCAGTGCCATCCACAGAGCCTCTGTGGCATCCTGTTGTCTTCTTCAGCCTGGCTGGGCAGTCGCAGTATTTCCCAGGCCCCCTCCAGACCTTGTGCTTCTGCTGCTGTCTGCTGACAGGCTGCCTTACTCAACAGGTGGAGCTAAGACCTGTGCTCACCTGGCCAGCGATACTCAGGCCTACTGGCTAGGTTTATCCACTCGTGCTCCCTAGCCCTGCTTCCTGCTTTTACAAGTTTCAGCTTTTGCTTATTTGTCCATACTTTTGAAATGACAGTGGCTTCATGATAATTGTTTTGTATGAGCAAGGTCTCCATGGCCCTGCCTCGATACCTTCCTGGGGTAGTGTGGGTGCTCCTGGTCAGGCTGTGCTTGGTGGAGCTGTTCCTAGAGGGTTCCTATTGAGTAGCCTCCTCAACTCATTCATAAGAGGTTAGAGCTGCTGAGAAGCTACCCCAAACTACGTTTTATAGGTACTCCAAAAGCAAGGTATTTAATTAATTGTTTTACCTAGATATAGTCCTTCTGTCACAGCCCTGTGCTCCAGCACAGAGAGCATTAGTCAGGAGATAGGCTCTGCCTTCACTCTGCCAGGTAGCCCCTTGCAGCTCTCTGCAAGCTGGGGTTCTAAATGCCTGCCCCTCTTTCCTCCCAGGATTGCTGTGAAGATCGGTTGAAGTGTGTAGCAAAATCCCTTGAGGAAGACAATGCTAACTCTAGAGCATTAAAAAATAGGCAGGCGAAAGGTTTCTCAGAGTCCTAGGAGGTTGCTGTCGCGCGTGCGGCCGTCAGCGGAGATTGGCTGCCATAGGGAAAACACTTGTTTCTTGTTCCAAAAAAACACTCCTGTATCTGGTGCATTTGGATGTGAGGAGCCCCCCGAAGAGTGCACCCCAGAGTAGTGCACATTAGGATGTCTACCCTGGGGCAGAATTACTCTCCCTCCAGCTGCCCCATCCTGTTTCCTCCTGAAGGCACAGAATGTAACCCATCCTGTGGTTTGTCCCTCTGCAGGAACAGCTCGAGAACTACGACTTCACCAAATTCCACTCACTGAAGCCCAAGCTGATCGAGGCGGTGGACAACATGCTGAGCAACAAGATCTCGTCCCTCATGAACCTCATCAGCCAGGAGGAGATGAGCACGCCCACGCAGCTGGTGCAGGGCGGGGCCTTCGACGGCACCACTGAGGGCCCCTTCAACCAGGGCTACGGGGAGGGTGCCAAGGAGGGCGCCGACGAGGAAGAGTGGGTCGTGGCCAAAGACAAGCCCATCTACGACGAGCTCTTCTACACTCTGTCGCCCATCAATGGCAAGATCTCGGGTGTCAATGCCAAGAAGGAGATGGTGACCTCCAAGCTGCCCAACAGCGTCCTGGGGAAGATCTGGAAGCTGGCTGACTGCGACTGCGACGGCATGCTGGATGAGGAGGAGTTCGCGCTGGCCAAGCACCTCATCAAGATCAAGCTCGATGGCTACGAGCTGCCCAGCAGCCTGCCCCCCCACCTCGTGCCCCCTTCACACAGGAAGTCCCTGCCCAAGGCCGACTGAGGGGTAGGCTGCAGAACAGGCAGGAACTGGGGGACCTGGGCCTCAGGCCTGCTCCACCACTGACTCACCAAATGATCTTGGGCAAGGCTCTGCCCTCTCTGTGCCTCAGTTTTCCCATCTATAGAATGGGGAGGGCAGACACTGGAAACTAGATGAGTTATTTCACCTCCAAAATTCCCTTAGTTTCTGTGAAAATATTGGGGGTAGTGGGGGTGGATTAGGAGATTGAAGGGTTGAGAACAAACAGAAATTTTCCAAGGAGTCCTGAGAACAACCTGCCCGGAGAAATGCACGTGGAGATGAGCCTGCTGAGTCCCTGGAGCCACCGGAAGTGAGCCCGGCTTGTTCAGAGCAGCTGGGTCCTCATGAACAACTCTAGAGCAGCTGTCTGTCCTTCAGGGGGCACCGGGAGGCAGCAAAGATTATCTTATTTATTTTTTCTTGTCTTCTGCTATATTTAGAGTGGCAAAACAACAGAGCAGAAGGTTTCTGCTGTCTCCAGACTGTCTACCAAAGGGAAGGTGACAGATGCCTCTTGGGTTTGAAAGGGGATGCACTGTGGATCCCCATCCCTTCTGCAGTCTCCAGTACAGCAGCCAGCCAGGCCCCAGCGTGCATCCAGCCCAGTGTCCCAGGACCACCTGTTCAGCCCTCCCAGCCTCCCCTCCAGGGGTCTTCCCAGCAAAATCACATTGGCCTAGGAATTTGGAACTCACAACCTTTATTTACCCCTGGCAAAACTTCTCATTTGCATGTCAAAACACGTTGAAGTCTGAAGATTAGCTTTTCTTACTGGTTTGTCCAGTAAGTCATAGCAAAGCCCAATTATCATACTTAAAACTACAGTAAGGAAAAGAGGTGGTTCTCTGCAGTGATCGTCTGGTGTGGCCCTCAACCATTAAATGTCCCCAAGTCCCCTTGGTGGGTAGTAGGATTTAAATTCAGCCAAATCCTGTCCTGGTGTGTGCAGTGTCCTAGGCCCTGTGGACACAGGCAGATGAAGGACCAGCCCTGCCCTGGGCTATTGAGAAGAGATCAGTCCACCCAGAGTTAGACATTGTTTTTGTAGAAAACAGGCATTTATTATATCCAGGGTTTTTTCTCCTTACAGGATAAAAGTCTTTATACAAAAACAAAATGGAATCTTTCACATAAAACCTTTTCTTTGATGGCTCTGTGGTTCGTATCATGAATGCTCATCATGAGGCAGGATTCGGGCACTTACCTGTAGGTTGGCTCCAGAGCACGCTTTCCCCAAATCCCCTAAGTAAACCTCTTGACCACTGCTCAGACACCTGCATCAGTGGAGGTGAGTCCCCCTCTGTGGGGACCAGCTTGGGGAGGTAGGTGCCATCCACCATTATTTATGCGGTAAGAGACACAAAATAGCAATGGCCACATGGTATTGGGGCCCTATTGGCCCCAGAAGTGAATGAAATCAACAGTCTCACTGAGCCTTCCAAAAGCCATGTCATTTTTTTTTCTGTCACCTGCCTTTGGTGACAGGGTCAAAGGCACAGATTGAAGAGAAAATCTTTGTTTGGTAGAAGCATTTATATCCAGATGCCCACCCCCACACTTTCTAGCTTACTTTCTACATAATTTAGTTTTAAGAGAAAAAAATGCATCGTGTGGTTTTCAGCTTAAATTCATTAGAAGCATAGAAAAGAACCATTATAATCCCAGTGCTGTTATCTGAACACACGGTTCTGTGAATGCATGAGGACCATTTAAAGTCTGCAAGCACAGTGGAGGTCACCAAAGGGTAAAATGAGGAAGAGAACAGGGAATTCATCTGGCTAAAGGCTTAGAGATGCCCAGGCAAGCTGACTTTTTCATCCAGAATTATCTTGTTCTTTAACTCTGCTCAATTCTCATATATAAACATGAATTTATATACATGTATGTCATATGAGTATGTCATTTTAAAACAATATGTGCATATGTAAGTTTTGTCTGGACACAGAAAGCTTCTTTGGAGGGCAGTAGGTTGGTGTTTCTGATTTCTCCATGGAGGGCAACCTTGCAGGCACTGTGATCACTCTCAGGAGGGAGAGACGCCCTCAGGAGGGAGAAATGCCAGGCAGTGGAGTCCTTTCCCTGCCGGCACCTGGTAATATTCTTGGAGAGGGGAAAAAAAAAAAAAAAGGGAATCAAATCATGTGCCCACTTTTCTTTTTTCTTTTTTTTGAGACAGTCTTGCTCTGTCACCCAGGCTTGAGCGCAATGTGGCACAATCTCCACTCACTGCAACCTCCACCTCCCAGGTTCTCCTGTCTCAGCCTCCTGAGTAGCTGGGACTACAGGTGCACACCACCACGCTTGGCTAATTTTTTGTATTTTTAGTAGAGATGGGGTTTCACCATCTCAGGTCTTGAACTCCTGACCTCATGATCTGCCCACCTCAGCCTCCCAAACTGCTGGGATTACAGGCGTGAGCCACTGCGCTCAGCCCATGTGCCCACTTTTCTTAATATCCTCTTACATGAAGTCATTCATCATGAAAAGTTGACTGGAAAAGAAAACACTAGAAAATATTAGGGATGGTGACCAAGTGAGGATTTGTATCTTCCCAGGACCAGCACAAAGTTCCATGAGTGTCCACACCACCAGCTGTCTCCCTCCCACACAGAAAGGGCTGCCCTGGGGCCTGCTCACTGTACTATTGCCCTTCTAGTACCACCCCAATTTTCAAAGAACCTCTTCCCCAGAGTATGTATAGGAGGGAGGGTGGAAATACCCAAACTCTAGAACTCTAGCATCTAAAAAGCCGAGGCCCTGTTTTCTACACAGCACATGGTATCACATAACACAAACCTTCCAGTCTTGAGTTTAAAGGGAAAGAAAAGGTCCAGCCTGTTGCTTCCACAGTCTGCTTCCAAGTTGTCAGCCTGCCAGTGAGGTCTTCCAGACCCATCGGTAAAGAAGCATTGCACTAAGACTTGGGACTCTTCCCCAGCTCCAGGGAGGGGCGGCGCACAACAGCTCGCCAACCTGCTTCCACGTCCTGCTCCAGCCCAGCAGCATCTGTCATCTCTTTTCCAAACTCACCAAACTCAGATGGCCTGGAGGCAGGGTCGCTCTTCTGGGGGTGGGCCGTTTAGTTGGTTTTTGGCTTTGGTTTCTCCAGGGCTGGACCCAGTTCTCTCTTGAACACTTGTTGGGACGCAGCAAGAGCATCTCTGGGTGTGGGGCTATAGGGCTGTGGTTCACGTGCGGGAGTCACAGCGCACCCTCCTTCATTACGCCTGGAGGATGCCCGAGACAAATTGCCTTCAAGATGAGGAAAGTGTTTCACTGTTTACTTCCTCCATGGTGTAGCAGGCGAGCATGCTTGGGATGGATAACCACTGTGTTTACCCAGGTAAATTCGGGCCTAATACAAGAGTGTATCGGTTCCAGTGTTGGTTAACCAATGCAGCTAATACATAATGCTTCTATTTTGTTTCTTTTTCTAATCCTATTTAGAAGTTTCAAACAAAAAGACAGTCTGCTGATCAGTAAACATGGAGCTGCCCTCTCCCACTCCACTGGCTCCATTTCCAGGGCTGTGTGCCAGCCTCGGAGCAGAGTGTGGATCCTTGGGTCCAGTTTGAACTGGGGAGAAGAGTTAGGAAGAGGCTGTGCCTGTGACCCCAAATTCTTACTGTGGAGAGAAACCCAAATGTAGCTATTTCTGAAGGAAAGCAGCCCCATCAGGTGGGCCCAGCGGAGGGTAGGCAGCAGAGACCAGGTCGGCAGGTGAAAACCTCATCTCAGAGTGGGTGGAAGCCAGGACACAAGGGACTCGTGGAAGTGGGCGTTTCACAGGAGCCCTTTCCCCGGCGGTGTTAGGGAGGAGCCCCTGCCTGGACAGCACCCCTCCCGTCTCTTGCCACACTTCACTGGTGCGCTCCCCCCACCCAACTATAGTAGGCATCTGGCTTTTCCCACCAACCCATCTCCCTTTTTGGTGTCCAGACCTACAGTCTCCTGGCAGAGCCTCCTCCTCCCACCCTCACCTTAAGTGAGATTTGGATGAGCTAGACCACGTCCCTCTGGTCACAAATATTGGTTCAGCAATGGACATGTGGCCCTGTTGAAGCCTGTGAGAGCCAGGGCCCCCAGACTTCTGTTAAAACTCTTGGGAGAGATGTTCTCTCTTATCTGAACTTTGCAGTATATAGAAGTGAGCTTACTGATGCAACAATATAAATGGCATTGAGATGGGTGCCCAGAGCTGCTGGGGTCAGGGGAGGGAGGTCAGCCTGGCAGAAGCCACCCTGTGCAGCATGAAAATGAAAGAGACCTTGAGAAAGGCCAAAGGAATCCAGGCCTGTGGTGACAACATTTGAGCTGCTGAATCAAACCTCACCTGAAGACATATTCCTACTAGTTTTTGATTTTTTTTTTCCACCATGTGGGCCACCTTTATACTGTTTAGACCAGGCATGGTGGCTAACACCTGTAATCCCAGCAACTCAGGAGGCAGAAGTGGAAAGATTGCTGAGGCCTGGAGTTCAAGACCAGCCTGGGCAACCTAAGAATGCCTTGTCTCTAAAAAAGAATTAGCTAAAAATAAATAAATAAATGTGTCTCTAAAAAAGAATCGACTAAAAATAAATAGTTTAAACCAGTTTAACTTGAGATTTTGGTTACTTGCAACATAAATAATCCAAACTTTGTTCTAACCAACAGGGTTCTCATGTCACCAGGGGCTGCAATCAGTCCTGGCCAGAGAAAAGCCGGTCCTTGCATGGTGTGCAGTGGCTTTAGCTGCCATTGAGCTAGAAAGGAAGAAAAGCAGTCCGCAGCCCCCTCCAACAAGTTCAAAATGACAGTGTCTGTCACACTGTCATTTTGAGGTCTATGTGCAGAGCATCCTGCAGTTCAGTCTGTCCTCCAGGGTGCACAACCTCACACGCGACTCCATGGGCTGAGGGTCTTAATAGGAGGAGGAGTAAGCTCGGTCTCCCGGGGGTAAGTGGGTGGGACGAGGCACTTCCTACAAGAAACAGGATTTTAACTGGGGCAGGCAGGATACGTGAATGTGGATGGAGAGTGGGAAGGGACATTCTAAGCTGAGAAAACAGCTGAAGCCCAGCCTCGGGGGCAGGAGAGCTCAGGTGCTGCTCAGGGAATGGAGAGTGGCCCGTGGGGAGCGCCCCGAGTGAGGGGCAGGTGGGCCTGGTTAGGTAACCTGGCGGGCTTCAAAGGCCCAGCTGAGGCGAGTCCGGCAAGTCTGGCTTTTCCTTCCCAGGCGGTGGCAGGCTTCGCAGGCGTGAGCAGAGCTGTGCTGTGGAAAGGTGCGGGGTGGTGGTGCCTAGGCTGCCGAGCTAGGGGGTCAGTGACGAGGACCCGCAGGGGCAGGGTGGGCAGAAGGAGAGGCGCACAGGAGGATCGCCACAGCCGCTGCTGTGAGCAAGGAAGGAGCGCAGGGTGTCTGGAAGCCAGTCAGTGCAGGAGGGGCCTGGCAGGAGAGGACAGCAGGAGACAAAGCGTCTCTCAGACGCAGGGAGCCACACTCCACCCAAGACCACGGCACCCCTCCACGTCACCGCCGACTGCCTGCAGTGTGCCCAGGCAGTTCAGGTGTGACTCATTCCTGGCCCAGCTCTCAAGGGGGAGCTGAGCTGCTGTCCTGCTGTGGGCTGTGGCTGCCGGGGGTGCCTCCCTGAGAAGCGGGCTGTCGCTTCAGAGGCTCCAGGGCTGCTGGGAGACACACCCACAAACATGCACCCCAGCCTGCATTGCTACCCAGAGTTTAGAGGGAGGTGGGTGAGACCCCCAGAATTAGAACCTGCCTTCACTCTAGAACCAGCCACGGCATGCAGTCCAGGGCTGGTCAGGGAGGAAGGGATAGGCGCCCACCAGCTCCCTCTGCACCCCTGCCTCCAAGCCCTGGGTTAACACCGTGTTTCTAATTTTCGAGGAGACTCCACAGCTCTTGAAGTTCTAGGCCACCCCTTCCTATGGGAAGCCTACACTTCAGCCCCGGACTAGACTGGCTGCACCTCTGGCAGGGCCTGGAAAGCCAAGCCCAGGGACCGTGAGGCCCTCAGTCTATGGGCTGTTCCCTGGGGGTGAATGAAGGGACCATGGCCCAGGATGTTCCCTCATCCCCTCACCCTGGTGCTCACAGAGAGATCCCGCAGGTGTGCAGAGGGCAGTTTGATTGGGAAATGCGACCACAGGCTTCCCGCAGAGGCTCTGCCCTTTGATGCCTCCTACACAGACTGCAGCGCGCCCACGGAGCTCCAACCCAGGGTAACAGGGCCCCCCCCCCATTGGCCTCTGTACTGGGAGCCAGGACCCCCACCTGGAGCTGGGGACATTGCTTGTGGGGAAGGGAGGGTATAAGGAAGAGCTCCTCCAGCAATGGCCCTGGAGCATTCTCGAGCCACCCCCTCCCAGTCTGGGCCACGCCCTGTGGCAGGTGGGAGGACAATGCCGCCTGTGTGCAGTCACCCCAGCACACACTGGCTGGAGGGGAGGGCTGTGGCCGGCCCCGCTCCAGCCTCGGCCTCTCCTGATGTCCCTTTCCCTCCATGCACAGCCCCTGCTATCTGCCCTCTCCATCTGTCCAGCAGGGCCACCTCCACAGGACCCAGGCATCACCAAGGTAAGCAGTTCGCTGTCTTCCTTCCACCTGCCCCAGTCACTGTGGAGGAGGGACCTGGCAGCAGGGCCTCCGAGAAGAAGAATCTGGAAGGTGGGGTGGGGTGGGGCAAAGGGAACCTGGGCCATTCAATCAGGAGCACTGGACCTTACCTAGCTGGACTCCAAGCTGCAACCCCCATGAAATGTGAGGACAGTCTGGCAAGGCAGGACCCCAGGCCCCTGGCAGAGGGGCCATCTCCATTCACACATCCCCTAACCTGCATGCCCTCCGGCTTTAGGGAGGCATCCATCAGCTCCTCGTCCCCAAAGGCCTGCAGGCCTGATGGCTGGTCAGCCCCACAGTCCCCGGGAGCTCCTCGGGGCTGCAGGGCGCCGCAGCAGGAGGCCCAGCACAGAGCTCCAGGCCCCACCCAGTCCAGCTGCCACCGTGGACTCTCAGTACGAGATGGGCCACGTTCGCAAGCTGCAGGCCCGGCACATGCAGATGCAGGAGAAGACTTTCACCAAGTGGATCAACAACGTCTTCCAGTGCGGCCAGGCGAGTGTAGCCAGCTGTGCCCCACCAGCCCACCCATGCCATGCCCCCAGCTCTGGCCAGTGCGCCTTGCGGGTGAGCTGTGGGGTCATCTGCCTGAGGCTGAGCTGAGGCCAGAGCTCCTTCTTCCAAGGCAGCTGCTCTGAGTCACACCTCTCGGATCCCAGGATGGGAGGACAGGTAAGGCTGGGCTGACCCCATACCTTCCCCCATCCCCTCCCCAGGTGGGCATCAAGATCCGGAACCTGTACACAGAGCTGGCCGACGGAACCCACCTGCTGCGGCTGCTGGAGCTCATCTCCGGGGAGGCCCTGCCACCCCCCAGCCGGGGCCGCATGCGCGTGCACTTCCTGGAGAACAGCAGCCGAGCTCTGGCCTTCCTCAGGGCCAAGGTGGGCCCCAGGGAAAGGGGTTTGGGATGGTGCCGGGGCAGGCAGCTGGGACAGGCTGGACTACTGGGTCACCTTTCCTGAGCCAGGCCACAGGGCAGAGCAGAGGAGCTGGGGCCTGAGTACCGGAGGAGCGGCCGGGACACAGAGGAGCAGAAGCCACGCTCTCCTCACACAGCACCCCTGACTTTGAGAGCACCCAGCTGGCCGAGGCAGGAGCAATCCATGTCCCTACTGGGATGGAAAACGGCATTGTCCGTCATGAGGGAGACGTGCAGGGTTCTAGGCTGAAAGAATCTCAGTGTTCTCTTAAGCTTCTCATGTCACAGATGAGAAAACAGGCCCCAAATTACTTGCCAGGCAAGATTGATGGCTAACTGGCCAGCAGAGCCCAGATGTGGGGCCATGGGTGGCTGGCATCCAGTGGGAAACGAAGGAGACCCGGACACTAAGGCGGCAGTGGGGAGAGGAGTAGGGCCTGTCTTGGAGAACCAGGGAGGAGGCCTCGGCAAAAGGGGGCAGCCAGAGTTACCTGAAAGAAAGGGACGGGCCAAGGAGATAGTTGCTAAAAGGAGGCCGGAGCTCCAGGGACCGAGGGACCCTCCTGGCCAGGGTGAGGGGCCTGTGCAGGGGTGGGGTGAGGCAAAGAGATCATTTAGGTTGGGAACCGGGAACTGGGAAAACCAAGGACTCCTGGAGGTGGCTGTCCCTGGAGGCTCTGAAGTCACTGAGTTGGGCCTGGCTGGACAGAGCCTGACTGTCCGTGCCCATCACTATGTCCTGAAGTGGAGCTTACATCCAGCCTCCTGGGGTACTGGCGTGCGGGAGGAAAGCCAGGGAGGGAAGAAACCCCACAAAGGGAAGGGGAGCCACCGTGGTCCTGAGCAGGTGCAAGAGCAGAACACTGCCAGCTGCAGAATCCCGGGCCCTCGTTGCTCCAGGGACAATGATCCTGTGAGCCAGTCATCTCCCCCGCCAGGAACCTGGGAGCCATGTGAGCCCCACAGCCTTTGTCAGAGGCGTGTAGCTCTCCCCAAGCTTTAATATATAGCATGTCACTAATACCTGTGAGGGAGATATCCTTGTCTCCATACACATAGGAGGCAACTGTGGTCTAGAAGGACAAGGGAGCCGCCCCAAAGGCACAGGGAATATATGGCAGAATGAGGGATGCGTTCGCTATGGAGACTACCGTGCCCTGGGTATTCTATGCAGGCTCGGGGCTACAATCGGCAAAGCGCAGACCTTGCCCTCAAGGCACCTGGCTTCAATGGGAGACAGATTCATTGAACCCAGATCTGCCGTCTGCTGGTAAATGGTTAACAAATGATTCTCTGGGGGACGTAGACGCTCCAGTGTGCAGTATTCGCTGATCCTATGGTGTTAATACCCCGTCATGGTGACTTCTAAGCCACCAGCCTGACATCGCTAAGCAGGAAGTCAGGATGATGGGCTCTTAGGAGCTGGGAGGAGCAGACAAACAGCCCACTCACCAGAGGCTCCAACTCTAAGCCAATGTGATTGACTTGCCAGGTGGAATCCACCCCAGGAGCACCAAAGAGCAGGATCCTTTAGAGAACTAGCAGGATATACCAAAGCTTACCAAGGGGAACACCAAGAGAGGCAGCCCCTCCCACAGGGCTAGCAGTGGCCAGCTGAAGCCAGCTGCACTCCAGGTCTTTTCTTTCTCCATTTAGTACTTGCTGATTGAGTCCCTGCTGTGTGCCACTCTCCTAGGACTCATCAGAAAACAAAGCCAAGATCCTCACTTGAGCAGGCCAAGGGAATGGAGAGTGTGTATTTGGGTGGGAGAAATAGTCCTTAAGTGTCTATGTTAAATACAGTAGTCAGGCTAGGCAACATCTGAGTGAAGGCTTAAAGGCAGAGGGGTGAATAGCCATGCAGATATCTGGGAATCCTTTCAGACAGCAGGGATGACCGTGCAAAGGCCTGAAGTCCTGTGCTTACAATCTCATGGAACTACAAGAATCCGATGGGCCTTGGAGCTGTGTGATTCCGCAGGGTGGAAGATGGAGCCAGAGGGGGCTGGGGCCCAGACCCTGAGGGGCTTCTCCCCTTGACTCACCCACCCTCCCTGTCCAAGCGGCAGGATGCAGGGCAGAGGAGTCTCAACTTTAGTACACTTACAAGCCACTGAGGTGGTGTTCAAGTGCAAATCCTGGACTCTGGTCCAAGTGGGTCTGACTGGGTGGAGCTTGGGAATCTGGATTTATAGCTGGCCCTGTTGGAGCTGGAACAGATGAAGGGGGGTGAGATATGAATGTGAACCCAGGGACCCAGCCACCCCCTGAAGGCCAGGTCACCCTGGGAGATGGAGGCAGACAGTTGCTATTGTCTGTTGCACTCACACATTGACTGTTAGGACCCCTCATTCCCAGACCCTGTAGCTAAACCACTGACCTTGGCTGGGGTCTACCTATAGCCCACACACAGGGAGTCCTTCTGTTCCAGGGGCCCAGCCCACTTCACCAGGTTGAGGCTTCGTCCAGGTAGGCTTGGGGTCATGGCTCCAAGCAGGCAGGAAGCCTTTGCTTTCCTGGACTTATCCCCTGCCTGCTTCTCCCTGGGGGACCTCCTGGCTGGGGCAAGACAGATTCCAGGACCGCCCCCCCATCCCACAGCCAGCCCCCAGACGTTGCTGACTGAGTCCTCTCTGGACACAGGCTTCATGGCTTAGCCCAGCCAATGTGCCTACAGGTGCCAATACCACTCATCGGGCCAGAGAACATCGTGGATGGAGATCAGACACACATCCTGGGACTCATCTGGGTCATCATTCTGCGTTTCCAGATCTCCCACATCTCCTTGGACAGGGTATGACTCAGTCCCCACCCCCCAGCACCCAGTGACCCAGCCCAGCCCTGGCCTCACCTCAGACCCCTGGGGACCGAGTCGTTGCACGAAACTTTTACGATCCCCATAGGAGATCTTGGAAACCACAAAGTCAATATTTACTCTTTAACCATGAGCAAAGAACCCAGGATGCCGGAGATACTGTAACATTGAAGTATGCTAAAGTGAGGGCCAGAGCCCCGGGCTTCAAACTGGGCCTGGGCAAATGATTCACTAGGGAGGGTTCGGGGTCACTGTCCGGCACCCACTTTCACCCCTGTGTGCTGCTCCCCAACTTGGCACTGAGGCTCTGCAACTTCCATCACACCACAATGTACTGCTGGGGTAAATGAAAGGTATGGAGGGATGCCCAGCTCTGGGGGTTCACAAAGACCCTGGCACCCTGCAGAGCACACAGTATTCCCTTCAGGGTCCCCAGCTTCCTCCATTCTGCCTCTTCCCCCCAACACTGGGTCAGAAAGATTATACAGTCTTTGTGGGACACGGTAGTCCCAGCTCTCGGGATGCTGAGGTGGGAGGCTATCCTGAGCCCAGGGTGTGGTGAGCTGTGATCGCACCACTGCACTCCAGCGTGGGTTACAGAGTGAGACCCGGTCTCAAAAATAAGCCCTTATACTTACTCTTTTTCATAGTTTCATGATTTCCAAAACACTACCTAAAACTCAATTCTAGTAGGTAAGGAAAGCCAACCTGGAGAATGAAACTCCCATGAAAAGAAGCCACAGATCTGGCACAAGTCCAGGACAGCCTCAAAACACGGGCCTGAGTCCCAGGAGAGCAGGGGTCTTGTGTGTCTGCATTCCCAGGGCTGCGCGTCTATTTGAAGGCTGAAGGGGTGGATGAATTTCTAACTGACCTCAGCCCTTTCAGGAAGCTATACTCACCTCCCCAGGCCCCTGGGCCAGTTCTGGGTCACCCTGCAGCCCAGGCTTTTGGGAGCAGCAGGGCACATTCTCCCCTGACCAGCACCGCCTCCTGCCTGTCTGCAGCCCCCTCCGGCCCTGTTCCTGCTGACTCAGACATGTTTGGGCTCAGGGAGGCCCTGCTCCCTCACAAGCCGTCCCCTCTTCTTTCCCAGTTCCATCTGCAGCCTGGCCCCACCATGCAGGGTACTGGGGCCTGAGCTAGCTGGGGCAGAGCCCAGCTCCAGGGCCCCCTCGTCTCTGCCTGGTGCCCACACATCATTCCTACCCAAGCTCTGGGGCTTAGAGGCCAGGGGAAGTGCAGCCTGCTGGGCCTTGATGTTTTGAGTTTATAACAGGAAGAGGTCAGGCCTGGGGGTGCACGCCTTTCATCCCAGCACTTTGCGAGGCCAAGACAGGTGGATCACTCGAGGTCAGTACTTTGAGAACAGCTTGGCCAACACGGTGAAACCCCATCTCTACTAAAATACAAAAAATTAGCCGGGGAACGGCACATGCCTGTAATCCCAGTTTCTTGGGAGGCTGAGGCAGGAGAATTGCTTGAACCTGGGAGGCAGAGGTTGCAGTGAACCGAGATCGTGCCACTGCACTCCAGCCTGGGTGACACTGCAATCCTCCATCTCAAAACCAAACAAAAACAAAAAACCCAGGAAGTGGTGAAGAAGGGGAGTGCACAGGAGAGAATCAGGGGAGGGGGAGGAAAAAGAGATGGGGGCTTGGGGGTGTGAGGGGGTGAGGGAGGGAACAGATTCAGGGACAGTAACACTGAGGGAAGGACGGGCACTGGGGGAAAGAAGATGAGGGAGAGGAGGCCGAGAAGGGGAAGTGGGAGGGAGAGAGATGGGGAGAGGCAGGTGGAAGCCGAGAGTGGCAGCATGGGGGAAATATGGTGGGAAGGGGAGTGGCCAAGAGCAGCCTGTGGCACCCTGTGAGGCCCTGAGCATGATTGGCAGGTGGGTGCTGTCAGATGCTCCTGGGTGCTAGCCCCTCCCCTTGCCATCTGGGGGGCCCTGGGCAGTCTCCAAACCTCCCTTGCTGTACCTGGTTTGCTGCAGTGCTGACTTCACAGGGTGGGGAGGGCTGAGAGCCATAGCGCCTGGGCCTAGGGCCTGGCTCACAGAAAGCCTGCAGTGACAGGACCCAGTCTCATGAAGCCCAGCCTCGATCCCACGAGCCCAAGGTCAGTTAGCACAGAGCCTGGCCTGTCAGAAAGGCTCAGAAACGGGAGGCGTTGCTGTGTGGTCACCTGTGGTGACACAAAGCCAGAGGCTATGCAGTGACAGCTTTCCTTTGCTCTGCTTCTTTGGAAGGCCAGTCGCTCTCACCCCCAATCCCTGCCCACTGTGGATGAAATTGGGTAAAGTCAGATGCTCTGAAGAGAGGGGAGTCACACCAGCCCCGGGCCGGGGAGGAGCAGGGTCCGCTGTGGCCAGCCTGCCTCTCCCACAGCCTGCAGTCTCTCTGCCACCCCACCCCGTCCCTGCACGATCACCCCGCTGCCCTGTCCCACCAGGAGGAGTTTGGGGCCAGTGCAGCCCTGCTGTCTACCAAGGAAGCCCTGCTAGTCTGGTGCCAGCGGAAGACAGCCAGCTACACCAACGTGAACATTACTGATTTCTCCCGAAGCTGGAGCGATGGGCTGGGCTTCAATGCCCTCATCCATGCCCACAGGTGTGACCCCACCCTCGTCAGGAGGCCTCTGCCCACGGAGCCCATGGCTCCCGGGTTGGTCCTCAGTCTGCCCGTTCTCCCACATCTTTGAGCTTGAAGGAGGAAGGAAAGTGGACACAGATGGAGAGAGGGCCGATGTCTGAGTCCCTGCTCCATCAGCCCCTTTCCCTTCCCTAGACAATGCCATGAGTTTGGCCAAGTTTGCCTTTGACCCCAGCCTTCTCCACTTTCTGTGCCCCTCAATTCTATTCATGCTCTTCACTCTGGCAACACCCACCCTTTGGAGGGTCCCCCAGCCCCCTCCCCCAGCCTGGTCCCTGTGCCCAGTGAACCCTCCTCTTTCTCTATCAGAGTCCCATTCCTTGCGCAGGGCCTCAGTTAACTGTGGGAAAAACAAATTCACAAGACAGTGTGAATGGCCACAGCAGCATGAGTGCGTTTAAGAATCTACCTGAAGGAAAGCACTCAGTTCCTGCTGGTGAGGCGCCCTTCCCGTTCTCTGTCCAGGCCAGACCTTTTGGACTACGGTTCCCTGCGTCCAGACCGCCCACTGCAAAACCTCGCCTTTGCCTTCCTGGTGGCTGAGCAGGAGCTAGGCATCGCTCAGCTGCTGGACCCCGAGGATGTGGCGGCTGCGCAGCCAGATGAGCGCTCCATCATGACATACGTCTCCCTCTACTACCACTACGGCTCTCGCCTGCATCAGGGGCAGACTGTCCAGAGGAGACTCGCTAAGGTGGGGGAGAAAGGAGGGGTGGGTGAGCAAGGGCTCCAGAGGCAGACAGGCCTAAGTGTGAAGCCTGCCCTGTCACCTACTAGCTGTGTGGCCTTGGCCAAGTCACCCAACTTCACTGTGCACCCTCTGTCACATGGAGATGATGATGCCTGAATAACAGAAGGCCATGTGAGTGCTCCAGGGAGCACTAGTAATGTTCCCAGCACAGTGCCTGGCTTACAAGAGAAGCCAGGGGAGGAATGGCCCCTCCTGGGCCTCCCCATTCTCCCCGACTCTCAGGCTTTTAAGCTCCTAATGGGATTAAAAGGCTTAGAGAGCCAGGATTCTGCAAGGACAGGCACAGAAGAGACTCTGCTGGCAGGGGCTACACAGAGTTCATGTTTTTGGGGGGCTTTCTTACTCTGTGGACACGATGGCGGAGGCTGAGGCCTGGAAGTGCTCTTCTCAGGGTGGGTATCTCAGTTGGGGTATGGGTGGGGATGATGCAGGCCAAGGGATCTGTGCTGCTTTATAGGGTGGGGGCTCAGGGAAGGGAAAGGAGGCCTGGAAAAAGAACAGCAACCTGAAGGGCCTCCACCCCCACTAGTGAGGCCAAATGGGTAAAACAGCAGGAAGGCAAGATAGCCTCACCCACAGTCGTGGAAAGGGGCCCCAAGATCCTGGGTCTGACTGCAACGCAAGCAAACCCAGGTCTCTGGGGTGGGGGACCAGCACTTCAAAGCTTCTTTGGCTCAGAGAAGTAGCTACAGTCCACCTGGGGAACTCGGGCTGGCACTCAGTGCCCATTTCAGGACCTGCCCCAAGAAGCACCCAGACCCCTTCCCATGCCCTCCACCAGATCCTGCTTCAGCTCCAGGAGACAGAGATACTGCAGACCCAGTACGAGCAGCTGGTCGCCGACCTGCTACGCTGGATTGCAGAGAAACAGGCGCAGCTGGAGGCGCGGGATTTCCCAAACTCGCTGCCCGCCATGCGACAGCTACTGGCAGCATTCGCTGCCTTCCGCACCCAGGAGAAGCCACCTCGGCTGCAGCAGCGAGGGGCCGCAGAGGCGCTGTTCTTCCAGCTACAGACAGCACTCGAAGCCCAGAACCGTAGGCCCTTCCTGCCTCATGAGGGCCTGGACCTTGTAGAGCTGTCTCAGTGGTGGGCAGGGCTGGAGTGGGCAGAGGCTGCACGGAGCCAGGCCCTACAGCACAGGCTACTGCAGCTGGAGAGGCTAGAAACCCTGGCCCGGCGCTTCCAGCACAAAGCGGCCCTCCGGGAGAGTTTCCTTAAGGATGCAGAGCAGGTGCTGGACCAGGCTGGAGCCCCGCCAGCCAGCCTGGCTGCAGTGGAGGCAGCTGTCCAGAGGCTGGGCATGCTGGAGGCTGGCATCCTGCCCCAGGAGGGGCGCTTCCAGGCCCTGGCTGAGATCGCAGACGTCCTCCAGCAGGAGCAGTACCACAGCTGGGCAGATGTGGCCCGCAGGTGAGCCCCGACCACACAAACTCTCATAACCGGCTGAGGCTCTCCCACCATACCACCATCCTTCCAGGTCACGTGCCCATTTTTTTTTTTTGCCACAGAGGAGAGGGGTGATTTATGGGTTCAGGGCTCCCCCTACAAAGGCCTGTCTCCCAGCGATGCTTGTAAGTCTACCATCAGTAATTCATCCTTATTGGTAAAGCACTCTCTAGGTAGCCTCTGATTCATTCACTAAGTAAGAATTTGAGTGTCTACTATGTCTCACACACTGTGCTAGGTGCTAGAGATTTAGCAGAGAAGAGGACAAACAGAAATTCCTTCCCTCATGAACTTACACACTACTAAGAAAACCGGACAAATAAGAAAAAGGCATAGCATGTGGTAATCTTAAAAAATAATAAAGGAGAGGCTGGGCACAGTGGCTCACACCTGTAATGCCAGTATGCTAGGAGGCCGAGGCAGGCGGATCACCTGAGATCAGAAGTTCAAGACCAGCCTGGCCAACATGGCAAAACCCCGTTTCTACTAAAAAATACAAAAATTAGCCAGGCATGGTGGCACACGCCTGTAGCACCAGCTACTTGGGAGGCTGAGGCAGGAGAATCGCTTGAACCCAGGAGGCAGAGGCTAAGTGAGCCAAGATGGTGCCACCACTGCACCCCAGCCTGGCAACAGAGTGAGACTCCGTCTCAATAATAGTAATAAAGGAGGAGGGGGGGATATGAGGTGCTAAGGTAGAGTGGCTAGAGGGGATTCACTGGGAAGATTTTAGTCTGAGCACCTGGAAGGATGGAGTTTTTAATCAACTGAGATGGGGACTGCATGCAACGTCGGGTGCCCCAAAGGCCGAATCCTTCCAGGCCCTCCTTTTGCCTCCTCTGCCTGTGTCCAAAGGTAGGACACCCTGCCCCTATGGCCCCCAACCAGGATGTTCTCAGAGTCCACAGACCCTGCCCCAGCCAGAGGTCAGACTCCACCAGGAAGCCAACCCCCACCACAGACCAGGAATCCTGAAGCAGCTTCCCTGCCCCAACCCAGAGGAGATCTCCCTTATTCTCATGTCCTCCAGGCAGGAGGAAATTACCCTGCGCTGGCAGAGGCTCCTCCAGCGTCTACAGGGACAGAGGAAGCAGGTGGCAGATATGAAGGCTGTGCTGAGCCTGTTCCAGGAGGTGGAGGCTGCCTTCAAACAGCTGGAGGAGCTGCAGGTGGGCACTGGACCAGCAGGCCCTTGGGAAACACAGCAGGGTGGAGGACTTCCCCGAGCTGGTGCTCAGAGGGACCCAGCACTCTGGGGGATACTATAGTGACCACTCAACTCTGACCAGGAGCTGGCCAGGTCCACCACCTGTGGGCAGCAGCTGGCAGAGGTGGTAGAGCTGCTGCAGAGGCATGACCTGCTGGAGGCCCAAGTCTCGGCCCAGGGAGCCCACGTGGGCCATCTTGCCCAGGAGGCAGCAGAGCTGGACTCCTCCCTGGGCACTAGTGTGGAGGTGCTGCAAGCCAAGGCCAGGACACTGGCCCAGCTCCACCAGAGCCTGGTGGCTCTTGTCAAGGCCCGGTAAGATCCCGCCCCAACTCTTCCACCTTTTCCAGAGCTTTTCTATAACCCGTATTATCTCCTGCCTAGGTTAAAGTACTGGGGCCCTGGCGGATTTCTCCACACTGACCCTACTCCAAGGCCTCTGTCTCACCTGTTAAGTCATCCAGGGAAAGGAAAACTCCTGCCTAAGGGGAGTGCCTGACCCTGGAGGGGAACACACTGCCCATTCCCCACCACTCCCCATGTTCTTCGGTGGCCCCTACTGTCCCTCAGGCGATCCCTGCTGGAGCAGACCCTGCAGCGGGCAGAGTTCCTGCGCCACTGTGAGGAGGAGGAAGCCTGGCTGAAAGAGTGCAGACAGCGGGTGGGGAATGCGGCCCTGGGCCGGGATCTCCACCAGATCGCAGGCGCCCTGCAGAAACACAAGGTGGCCGCTCCCAGCACACCCCCACCGGTCGCCAGCGCCTCACCCGTCCCTCTCTCTCGGCCCCCAGCCCCTCCCCTATTCTTCCTTCCCTGAGCCCCCTGCTCTGCCCCCGCTAGGCCCTGGAAGCTGAGGTCCACCGCCACCAGGCTGTGTGCGTAGATCTCGTGCGGAGGGGACGCGACCTCGGCGCCCGCGGGCCTGCGACGCAGCCGGATCCCGAGGAACGCGCAGAGGCCGTGCAGTGCTCTTGGCAGCTGCTCCGGACCCGGGTGGCGGGGCAGGGCGCATGGCTGCAGACAGCCCTGCTGGTCCTGCAGGTAGCCGGGTGGGGTGGTGCCGGGGCCCAGCGGGGCGGGGTGGGGGTGCCATCACCTGCCCGCGCTTAGCTGCTCCCCTGCATCCACACACCTCCCCAACCTCCTCCCGCAGTACTTCGAGGACGTGGCGGAGGCGGCTTCTTGGCTGCGCGAGCAGCGATCCTCGCTGGAGAGCGCATCCTGTGGCCAGGACCAGGCGGCCGCAGAGGCCCTGCTGCGGCGCCACGAGCGGCTGGAGCGCGTCCTGCTCGCCTTCGCCGCCGAGCTGCGGCGGCTGGAGGAGCAGGCGCGGGTGGCCTCGGCCCGGGCGTCATTCACGGTGCGGGCGGGACCTAGAAGGGACGCAGACCAAATGCCGGTCGGCCTCCTCTCAGCTCCTGGTCTCCCTTGCCCCACCGCGGCTGGGCCACACAGAGGACGAAAATGAGAGGGCCTTTGTGGCCTCTGCCCTGGGATTCGTGGCCTTCCCGTGGGTTTGGGTGTCCCTCACCCCAGTCCTCCGCTGCATCTCACCTGTCGACCTAGCCGAGAAGTCGTGGAATCCTGTCTGTGCATGCGAACTGAGGTCACCCAAATACAGCATGGCCTGGCTCCCGTGGCCGGCACTTTCAGAGCGTGAAGCAGTTTCCTCCAGGAAGGTCCCCCTCACTTTCACCCAGGCCGGTAGTGACCCTTCAACTCAGTTTGGCTCTGTCTCCTGACAGCCCTTGTTGGTTTCCGGTGGCCTAATCACTGTCCCAGACTGCCTTCTGACACCCCTTGCTCAGATCATTGAGCCCCCAAAGTTCTTAAAAACATGGGTAGCTTGGTTCACAACCCCCTTTCAAGAAGCTGTGTATGTAGCACAAGATGTGGACATCAAAGCCATCTGATCCTGTGCTCACGTTTTGCCCCTTGACCCTCAGCCCCAAGGAAGCTTCGTGTCCCAACCCATGTCTCATACACCCTTTAAGCTGCAGCTCAGGCCCTCCAGATCTCAGGGCAGGGAGGCAGGGGTGGCCTGGCCAAAGCCCCTGCTGCTTGATGGGGCCCCCTCTAGACACGCTGCCCT